GGGTATCGGTGCCGGCCGGAAAGAAACGATTTTTCGGCAATGGGTTCAGGAGCAGCAGCTAATTCAGGTTCTAGGCAGATTTATTTGACATTCCCAGCTGACAGTAGCTTCAAAGAAGAAGATGTTTCAAATTACTTCAAGTAAAGTCACTGTTTTTTTTATAAAAAAAAAAGATTGTTGCTGTTTGAGTTTTAGTTATTATTATTCTGGGTTTAAAGATTGTTCCTTTGTATTTTCCCAGCATATATGGACCAGTACTAGATGTGAGGATCCCTTACCAGCAAAAGAGGATGTTTGGTTTTGTTACATTTGTATATCCAGAGACAGTGAAGCTCATTTTAGCTAAAGGGAACCCACATTTCGTTTGTAATTCTCGTGTGCTCGTTAAGCCTTACAAGGAGAAAGGGAAAGTCAAGAGAATCGGTTAGTAAAACAAGGCCCTTTTTTCTTTCATCTTGAATTTTGCTGCATTGTTGGTGAATTTCGATTTAGATTCAAACTTATTTAGGATCGAAAATGTTTTACAATACTCCAGAGATGTTGCTGAGAAGAAAATTGGAGGAGCAGGCTGATTTGCAGAATGCCATCGAGCTTCAAGGAAGAAGGCTAATGAACTTGCAGCTCCTTGACTTGAAGAACAACCAGCCCCAACCTCAGTTCCATCACGGTTTGTCCGCTGGTTCCCCTGTTCCTTCACCTACCGTCCCCCGTACTCCCAACAATCATGCACTTATTTTTCCAGCTGATGCCATCGATCGAGAAGTCCCTGAAGGTTAACTCCAACTTTGGTTCGACCACCATATGAACAAAGTCACCTCTCTGTTCAATTTATCAATCTGGTTTACCCTTTTTTGCTGCAGGGAACGGCGGTTGCTCGATCTCAGCTGTTTCGAAGTTGGCTGCTGCCATGAAAGACGATAAGCAGATGGAGGAAACTAGTGCAGTTTGTAATTATAAAAACAACAATGGTGATAGTAACACTAAGGGGAAGGCCAATACAGAAGAAAATGATCTCCCCGAAAGGTATAAAACTTAAATGCTAAATCTAGATAAGCAAAATAATAACTATGCCGCTTTCTGCTATCTTTTGGGTGATGGATTTCATGCTTTTCTCAGCTTGGAACACATTCTTCCCGATAACCTATTCGCTTCTCCAAAGAAATCAGCCGGTGATCACCTCACCGTTTTCTCCACCTCATCCACAGAGGCCGTAGAAGCTGACAACAAAACCGAAACCCCGGCTACATCTTGTTCTAACGGTAACTTGTAGCTGGCCAATGCTTCCGGTCTCAACATGGCTTCTCTCAAAACATATCTTCTACAAATGCCAAGGTATATCACCATCCATCGTCACTCTCCATTGCATAGAATCCAACAAAACAAGTGGAAGCTAATTATGATTAATCTTTTGTCATAAAAAGGTTTTCGCCCGGGGAAAGAACCATCGGCATGTAGCTAGCCAACAACGGAGGAAAATCGACCTTGCCAGGGTAAGAAAACACTATCAAACACCTCGGCATCGTGGTGAAATCCGATCATTTCATAAAGTTTGAACTGTTTTTTTTGTTCTAATATTTTGCAGAATCAGTGACAGTTAAGCACATACATGGAAGATTAAACCAAAATCAAAAGGTGTATAGCCAAAACCATACAACAAAGGAAAAAAATCTGTGAGACAAATCACTGAAAGATCATCATCATCATCATCAATACAAAACTACTTGCAATCAGAATACTTAATATATATGTACAAGTAATCGATAGATGACCTGATTTATGCAAGTGGGGTCTTCGGCCTTTCATTACTGGTGGCACCCTAATTACTGGACCACAGAACAAATAGTGCAGAAACAAAGAATAGTAGCAGGCTAGCAGTAACTAATAACTCCTTTTTTTTTCTCATATTGTAATTTCTTTAAACCTTTTTTCTTTTCAAAGTGGTGAAAAAAATGTACTGCATGAACTATGTCACTTTGTGTACAGAACTAGACCCCCAAGAAGTTATAGAAGTACTTAACCAGCAGCTTAACAACTATACTGATATGAGAGACCCAAAATGGCAAAAGAGTGAAAGGGTTAAAGAGCTTGACCCTGGCTTTTTTTTTTGGTGTTCATATTATTACTATTACAGTATCTGTCAGCCATTAGATTATGATGAAATAGGCAGAACTGTAAAAAGGAAAAGAAAGGTGGGATAAAAGTAAAAAAGGTTGTTCTTTTGTTGCATCATGTGATTAAAGTTAACTTTAGTGACACTTCCGTCTCATGTTGTGTCTTCTCTTTTATCTTTTTGGATGGGAACATGGATGAATGGGTAAGGGCCACAGTGTCACATGGCTTCTGACAATTTTATGAATATCTGGGTACCACTCACTTCTTCACTTTCAGCCTTTTTTTTTAACCATGATTTTAGAACCAGATCTGTTAACGAATCGATCATATTATCGGTTCACTGGTTTAACCGGTTGAATTGGTCCGATCGGTCGGAAGAATCAGACGACGTCATAATTATTTAAAAAATTAAATAAAAATACAAAAAATATTTAATAAAAAATAATTTTTTATATCACAAGTCATATTCAAAGCAAGTCATAAAATATATAAGTTAAAAACCATAAAATCAAGTTAAACAAAATGATTCAAAAGCAAGTCATAAAATATATAAGTTAAAACCATAAAATCAAGTTAAACAAAATGATTCAAATAACTACAACATAATATTTAAGGTAAAACATATTAATATAAATATAATTATATAACTATAATTAAAAAAAATTTAGGGCTAAAAAAATCATAACAAAATGATATTGTTTGGTTTAATTTAAAAAAAAAAACAATCTCACATGGCTAAGAAACATAGAAGAGCATCCCAAAAGTCAAAAGAGTAAAAATATGAGAACAAAACAATTTTACATGGCTAAGAAAAATAGAAGAGCATCCAAACTAACTTCTATAAATAATAGAAGTAATTTGACATTCAAAATCATAGAGCATTTTGGTGAGCATTGAGTGAACTATTATTTCACTTCAATCAAACTCGAATTTTAGGCTTCAATCGAGTTTCTAATTTTTTTTGAGTTCAAGCCTTTTCGAGTTCAAGTTTCAATATTATATTGCGAGTTCGAGTTGAACTTGATAATTTTTAGCTCGTGAGTTTGAGTCGAGTTGAGCTTACTTTTAAAGTTTTCAAGTTCGATTCGAGCTCAACAATACTCGAGTTCGACTTGGCTCGTTTAACAAACGCCGTCATTTGGTTTAATTTAAAAAAAAAAAAAATTGGCGGTTTTTTCTGGTTTTTAGTCGGTCCGATTTGAACGGTTCAGCGGCTCCGGCCGGTTCACTAGTAGCGGTTCAACCGGTGTAGATTAAACCGGACTAGACATTGATTCCCATTTGAACCGGCCGGTCCGGTCCAGTTTCAAAATACTGTTTTTAACTTCATTCAGGTTTATTTTTTTAATTCAAAATGAATTAATATATTATAAATTAAAAATAATTACATTTAATTGGAATAATAAATAAATTTAATTCGGGAACAGTAAAAACTGTGGTTGGGTTCAAAACAGTGATGCCGCTATCAGGTTAGTACAATATTTTCCTACTTAATTAACCATGATTTCAGCTATTTTTATTTACTTATTTAATTAAGGGTAAATTAAATGTTTAGTATCTTAACTATCACTTTTGTTATGTTTTAGTCATCCAACTATTTTTTGTTTCAAAATCATACCTAACGTTACATTTTGGTATGATTTTGATCACTCATAGTTAAAAATATTAGTAATTAAGGGTAATTTTTCAATGACATATGATGAAAATAAAATTAAAATATAACGTTAAGTATGATTTAAAAAATATAATAGTTGGATGATTAAAACGAAACAAAAGTAATAATTAGATATTAAACGTGCAGTTCACCTTTAATTAATGATAAGGTCCTTCCAATGATTAGATCAATTTAGGAATTTTTCATTTTAAGAAAACGAAGTACACAATTTATAAGTTAATGTCAAATCAATGAATATTCTTTTGGATAAGCTTTTTAGGGTAATTTATATTGAATATAATCGAATTTTAGGTAAATTATCATATATCAGTCAATATGTTAACGTTTAGTTCAGATAGTCGCTAATTTTTTTAATGAAAAAAGATTAGTTGAAACATATGAATAGTCATGTGATCATTTTGTAATTATTAATAGTCGGTGGACTCAATAACAGTACCCTATAGTCAAATGACCATTTTATAACTTTTAATAATCATATTACTTAATGAAACAACGTCCAATAATCAGAGGATTATTTATATACTTTACTCTGTATTTTACTATCTTGCTAGGTATCAAACAATAAACTTCATATATTCCATTTATATCTTTCTCATAAGCTTGATCATGTGACATTTAGGATAATTTGAGAAATTTGTATAAATGATTTGATAATGAGGGAAATTGCATAAAGTTGGGACATTAATATAATTTAGATAATATAAATAAATATGGGCAGTCCAACCAACATAGCATATGTAATGTTTGGCCTGCAATGCAAAATTGTATAATAATGTCTCCTTTGTACATATAACATACTTATAGCCACTTAATTATTGTCTATTTTCATTTTATCGATCTTTTAATTTTGTTAATTAAACTATTAACTATTTAAATATTGTTAATCAAACCATCAACCGTTAACATTTATTGAACGTAATTGTTACAAAATTATTTTATTACAATTTAATCTTCAATATTTATATATTATATCAATTTTATCATAGTTTTAATTCAAATTAATAATTTTAGTCTTAAATTAAATGATGACATATGTCATCACTTAATTAGGTAAGAAAATTAATTGAAAAAGATATAGAGAGTAGAAGGAATCAAACCAAAAGTCTTGAAAAAAGATTTAGCGTATATAAAATGTGTAATTATACTACTTATTTTAATAGTCACGTTAGTTTCTCTGTTGAATGTTAACGGTTGGTGACTTAATTGACAACACTTAAATAATTAAATGATATAATTTACAAAATTAAAATATCAATTGTCAAAATAAAAATGTACAATATTTAAGTCACAATTCTATACCATGTTTCCTGGCATCAAAGCTCTTTTGCAGCCATTTAACTTGGTTCTCCAATCCAGCATCTCTCAAGGCATTCATAGCTGAATGATACAGCCTTCCATCCAACTGAGTCCCTTCTGCTTTGATGTCCTGCAGAAGCCTCACCAACTCATCGATCCGACTCGTTTTCGAGAACACTCCGACCATGATCCCCGCCATAGCCTTATCGATCGATCCCCCGTTCAGTCTAAACTCACGGTAGAACTTCACGCACATCTCGTACTCCCTCACTCGATTGTAAGCGCTGATGATCGTCGTGTAGCTGACTTTATCCGGTGCCAGCTTCCGTCGTTTCATCTCCTTCCATAGCTTCTCCACCTGTCTCAAGTTCTTCTCTCTCCCGTGCATGTCCATCAATGAATTGTATATCCATACATTCGGTTGACACCCTTTTGCTTTCATTTTAGCCAACATCTTCATTGCTTCTCTTATCATCCATTCTTTCCCATACATTGCTATCATGCTCGAATAAGCCACGACGCATTTGTCGAACCCTTTCTCCTGCATCTCCGAGAACACCATCTCAGCTTTCGAGTTGAGACCGATACGGCAATATGCGTTTATGATCGATGCGTACGTTACTTGTCCCGGTTTGCAGCCCTGCAGAATCAGCTGCTCGTAAACCGCAATGGCAGATTGAAACCCTCTTCTTTTAGAGAATCCATTTACAATTGTACAAAAAATACAATCAGAAACCTTTACATTTGCATACTTCATGACCCTCACAACATCCAAAGTTTTCTCTAATATCCCTTCTTCCATATACATCAAAACGATCTTCAAAAACACTTCCGGATCCCTCACCATCTTCCTCTCCCCTGCCTCTTGGAATAGCTCTTCGACCACGGTTAAATTGCGGATGCCGGCGAACGAGATTATCAACGAAGAGTAAACCGAAGAAGTCACGAAAAGCCCTTTCTTCCTCATGTCTCTGAAATACTCGAGAGCTTCGTAAGCTCGACTCGATTTCGCCAATGCGTCACATAATATACCATACGCACGAGGTGCAAGCGGTGTAGAATACAACTTCCTAGTTTCAAATTCATCAAATAAGGAACAAACTTTGTCTATATCACCAATTTGCTGATAAGCTTCCATTATCAGGCAATAAGACTCGGAATCCATACATTCGATTGGATTTCATCGTTTCGAACACGGATATCGTGCTTCGAAACATATGCAACTTATTGTACCCCGCCATTGCTGAATTAAACGCAATGACAGCGAGTTCTTCGTCTGATCTAAACGCTTCAAGCAAAGCCTCGACGACCTTGAATTTTCTAGCTTTAACACAAGTATTAATCAACCTAGAACAAGTATAACCATCGGGGAAGACATTGTAACGCTTGAAATCATGCGATAGAGACATAATCAAATCCCATTTCTTGGATTGGACAAAGTACCTTATCAGAAGCTTCAACATTTGTTTCTCTGGTATGAACCCCGGGTTCTCTTTTGCTTTCTGGTAGAAATCATATGCGACATCTTCACTTGGAGTGTCTTTTAATAACCCACACAGTAATCCGTTTAGGCCTAAATTGGTGACAGGCACATTGCTGCTGCTGCTCGATGATGATGATGGATGTTCCATGATGGCAGATGGGGAGTTAGATGAAGAATTGATGTGGAAGAACGGGAAGTTTGAGGTGGGGAAGGGGACAAAGTGTAGTGTTTTTTTGCAAGGTGCAAAGAAGAGAACAGATTTTCTGGGTTTTGATGTGTAGGAGTCTGTTGAAGCTAAGGACCAGTCTGGAGAAGCGGAGATGGCCATGTTCTTTTTGGGGAAGATAAGGTTTGATGGGGAACTGTTGGGGGAGAAGCTGAACTTGTGGAGCTGAAGTAACGACATGGAAGAATGGATTTTGCCATGATCTGCATGTATTGTTCTAACCAATAGAAAAATGACAAGTGGAATATGAGCTTTATCATTTTATGATAAGAATAGAGGACTGGTTTTTGACACGTGTTCTGTTGCAGCAACTAGAAAAGCAGAGTTTGACAAGGCGAAAGCACTTGCAAGTACACAGTTGGTGTGATGTTTGATTAAAACGATGTCGTTTATTTGGTTTAGTTATATATAATTATTATTTTTGAATAGTAGTGAAATATAATTTAAAATATCTGAAAATGGTAAATATAAAATTTAGTGATTAAATTTATAATTAATTCTCTTTAGATGATTCGTTCGAATAACATAGTACGTATGTATAGATTCAGATTATTTTTTTTTATAAAAAAACCTGAATTATTATCTCAAATTTGATTTATAAACCATAAACTCGGTCTTAGCTAAAAAGAAACAGTTCATTTTCACTCCGAAAAATCTCTCCAAATTTCAGATTTAGGTATGTGTAAAATTCTGTAGTTTGTTTAATATAATTCAAGTTTATACATAAATTCTAACGTTTCCTGTAGTAATTGTAAGAGTAAAGGGAAAAAAAAAACTTTCCTGAGGTATTAGTTAATTGTTCATGATGCCAAAGCAATCCAATAACTCGCACTGCATGGACTTGTTGGAGTGCCAATGATCCGAATCCATTTCCATTGCCTTTCCTGAACTTCCTGAATTTCAGCTAACTGCACCATTTAATAATTTTCATCAGTTTCTTATTCATTTCTCTATCCTGACAAAGATTGAAGCAAGTTTTTTTTTTAAATTATATTTTTCTTTTCCCTATTTCGCCAACGAAATCGAGTTGCATGTTTAAAGTTGTTCGCTTGTTGTGGAACCCAGAAATCCTTTATTGGGAGACTTTGAACAAAATGGAACTTGCTAGAGTTTTTGCCGGCTTCCTCGCCCATGTAGGGCATTGGAAAAAAAATTTCCCCATATATGGCTCTAATCAAATTATTTCTTGAACTGAGGTTTTGCTACCGTGACTTCATTGGTCGCCAAGTGTTCTAGGTCACCAAGTGCGCCTTGCGACAAAGCCTCTTCTGTGACAGCAACTCTTCTCTCTTCCCTCACTGTTGCAGCTCTTCTCTCGCATGCATGGTCCATGCAATTCCTAAAGACCTATGGAGGTCGCCGTGTATTCCTGGAGACTATGGAGGTCACTGTAGCTATCACCATCCTTAAGCAAATAATTGTTCGACTACACTATGTGAAGAATTTTTTTTCCATTGTATTATTCAACCACTTTTGCCCTTTTTGCCTGCTATTTACAGTGTTGTAGTTTGTGATGGCATGTTCATATTGGTTTTCATTTTTCTCTTTCTTTGTATTAGCTGTTTATAAAGTTTATTATTTACCTTGTATATGGCTATGTTTTGGTTACTTAGGATAGTTAATCAGATGTTGGAAACTAGAAACATGGGTGAACCATGGTTTTAATTGCTTACTCTGCCATCTCTCAGCTCGAATATAGCTGAATCTTCAGAAAATGGAATTGGTCTTGTAGGAGCAACCTGTACATATTTGTAGAGATTTTAAAATCAGTTAGGCATGCAGGAGTATGGTCAGTGGATAGCAGGATACGAACCTTTGGGTCACAATTTTCGTTCGGATCAGGTTGTTCGTTACCCGAAAAAACTTCTTCCCTTTCTGTTTGATTTTCATTATCTTTGTCTCTGTCATGTGGGAAACCACAGTTTTTCCATCTCCATGTCGATTGGTCCTTATACCTTAGGTATACATTTCCGTCTGAACCTATCAAAAACAATTGATCCCCTTTGAAACATGGACCAGGAGGAGCAACCAAGGTAGCATCTTTGCATGGAGTGCCATGTTCCACCCAGTTCCAACCATCCCATGTATTCCAGTGATATTCAACCAGTCGACCGTCTTCTGAAAGCATGAAAAGTGACCTGTTAGTGAAAACAACGAAGGCCTCATGGCAGTTCCTGGCAACCTGGATAGAATCAAATGCTGAGATTGGTGATGCTCATGCCACAACTCTGTCACTTTGTTATACTGGTACAGCCGGCCATTCCTTCCAACAACAAACACTATATTATGCCTAAACATTTCTTGGTCTATTATGCATGCAAGTTTGGTTTCTGGAGGGTTCCGGCAATCTCTCCATTCGAACGTTCTGAGGGCAACCTACATGAAACGTTAGAATTTGGTTAGTGATACAGTTTTGAACATATCAAAGAATCCGTATTACTAGTTTTCGAAGCCTAGGTACTGGAATGACGTTTCACACTGCCATACTTTTCTGGATACTCTGAATGTGGCGATGTTAAAGGTATACTGTGAAATTGTGCACCATGGTTTTAGGTATAATATGATGAAAATAAGATGAGTCTTTACTTGAATATATTTATGTATATTAGGAGGAAAAGGAAATGGAAACTAAATAAACCATGTTATAATTAATCTGTTTGCTTTTCTGATTTTATTTGATTTCTGCATCTTACCGTGAACTGCATTAGCCTTCCAATTTTGCTCACAAAGAAGAGAGCATCTTCCGCTGTGACTTTCATTTTACCCGGCATACCATCCCAAGGAGGGCCTGCCATAACTTGCGTTCCTTTCCTCATTGCAGTGCAGTTTATCCATGCTAGCTCGTTGCTGCTCCTTTCTCTGATAAGCAAGGTTCCATACATGTCAACAAAAAATAAACTTCCATTGTAGTTTCCCAGGGAACCTCTCATAGGTGTCGGATGATCGTGTCTTAACCAGAGCCATACACTTTCAGGTAAAGATATTCAAAGATCAAACCCTCATCTGTGACGATAAAAAACGATTCACCTGCTTGCATCATCCTCAGTCGGAAATTAGTGTTGGTCCAATTATCTGGGAAACTGTATTTTTCTGACGTTTTCACTAGTCTACTCCTGGATGTGCCTGGATATAAGTAGTCCTCGTGTGCTTTATTACCCTTTTTTCTCCTTGACAGGGATCTTGTTTTTCCAGCATCATTTATTTCATCTTTTATACCTGCTATGCAATTCAAAGGTCCTCGTTCTTCTGAACAATACTCTGCATTCCATCCTTCTGTCTCTGGGGCATCTAATATTGACCAGACATACTTGGAGGATACTTTTTTTCGCATGTTAAATTGAGGTGTTGGCCCTGAATTTTCACCACCTAGGCCAGGTATATGTAACTCTGCAAGTCTACCATCGTCTAGTGCAAAGAGTGTCCTCCCATATTGATATTTTAGTCCTGCAATACCTCTTGCAGCTTTTGTATTTGGTGGATGCATATGATTCAGCCATGCTACTGAAATTTGGTTTTCTTGAGTTGTACCTGTCTTCACATGCTCAAGTTACATAAAGGGAAGAAGAGAAAATTACCTGGCACTTTTCGACACTAGTTGATTTACCTGAATGGTTTGGTATTCTATACTCAAAAACTGATCCAGTGGATGTAGTGAGATATAATGAGACGAATCTTTCATTTGGTTCATCTTCCGGCTGGGGAGTAATAGATGTCAGGTGTTGATCTTCAGGACTTCCATGATTTATCCATTTCCATTTCCTTTGATGCAGTCGTCTCTCTACCAATTTTCCTCCCTGTATATTTAAGGAAGTTCGTTCAGGGCATGTAGTATCAGTATGTTCATGTTTTGTGACTCTCTAATGTGTTATTAGTTTGTACGTATTGGTGATATGGTAGGAATTTTTTGTGCATAGTACCTTTGTTAGGAGAAACAACGATACAGAGTGATCATTCGAGCCATGTATCGAGCTCCCCGTTAATGGTACTAGAGAGCCCTCTTTTGCTGTTTCTTCACTCCGTAGATGCTTCTTCCACGATGGCCTCGAGCTCTTATCATATTCATAAAGGTCACCTGCAGAACTATTGCACCATTTCATGTTTAGCTCACGTTGGTAATATTAAAACTGAAAAACTTGGTAGACTTTATTCTCTGTACTTATGGAGAGAAAGAGAGAGCACCTTATTGTATATACTACTTCTGTTCTAATTCTTCCCGCGTCAGCAATTGCTGCGACATCTGCTGCCGATGGTCGGCCATGATTCTCCCACCTGTTCTATGTTTACAATCATAGCACATAATTCAAACTGTATATTAGAGTCTTTATTGAAATATGAATCTCATTATAGGCTGGCATATTATGAGGCATCAGTGGTAGCAATGAAAGAAGTTCCATACGTGCATTAAGACTTCGAAAGGAAAAGGTTTCTACCTCAGAGGCTCAACCTCACTGAGCTCTAGCAACAAGCCATTCTTTGTGCAGAAATAAACTCTCCTGCATCGAGTTCAGAAAAATATAGGAACTATTGGTAGAGACACATTGCTTATATATTGAAATGAAATTTGATCACGCCACTCCGTTATGTATTAATTCCCTGAAGCAAAATTCTCAGCATTGAATTAATGTACTTACACCCCATCGAACGAAACAGTACCGGACTTTATCTGAACCACTGAGCTCTGGTCTACTTCTTTATTTGTACTTAGATCAAATGCAGGCTTGAACTCCACCCAGATTGGCTGCAAGTTGTCACCCAATTGCATCTGGGAAAGGGAAGATACATCAGCCAATTATAACAAGGAATTTTGTGGTCAAATACAGGTATGTCCCTTCCTTTCTGTCTAAACAAACTGAAAAAATTATGTGCTTTGTTTTGTTGTTGGTCTTGTTAGCCATGATTGGAATCTATCCCGATACTGGTGAAGTGGTACCTGAAATTTGGCTTCACGGTGTTCTATATATGCATGATGATCAAAGTGGTTCCATGTGCTTGCTTTGTTTCTACGGTGTAGGATAATCAGTCAGCTAATAAAACGAAATTAAAACGGAAGAAGCAAAATTCGAGTCGGATGTTTAATTCCGGTGTTGGTTCTTTACTTATATATATCAATACTGTAGTTATTCTTATTTGAAAACCACAAAGAAGTTTCACTATGCAATCCTGTATAGTTTATACTGTTTCATCTAATATAAAAATTGAAGCAGTTGGTGCTTAGTGGTACCTGGTATAAGTTTCCTTCTTCTGAGATGGCAAGAATTGTCTGATTGACCATCAAGACCGAGACCGCATAACCCGCCGATATATGCAAATCATGTGGTGCTATAACCCACTGAACTCCGTTCCAGACCTCTCGTAGATAGACCCGCTTTCACCGGTCACCCAAATGGATGTCTCAGACATTTTAGTCAAGGAGATTCTTTTTCTTACAGGCAAAACTGTGTAAGAGTTTTCATCTGGTCTTCCAATATCACCATTCCTCTTGTTGTTCTGTTGGTTAGAAACATCGTTTTCGTTTCCCGAGTTATCTTCTTTGGTCCTTTTTGTTTGATCAATCAAACCCACTTTAGTACAATTATCATTAACACAAGATACAAGGTCAAAAGGGAGTTTAACTTCAACCCAGGTGTTGGATTGCTCGTGAAACTCCCAGAACCGGTCTGTTTTCTGCTCGAATCGTCTCGTAGTTTGTTGAACAAACTGTGTGCACAATGAAGCAGATGCAATAAAGACAAGGTAGCTTATTGACAAAAGGATCCAGATGAAAATCATCAAATGGGATATAGACATGGTCGCTGAAGAACCTTGGAAAAGGGAAGATGAACCTTTGGTTGTGTTCTTTTCACAGTTTGCGGTACACCATATGGACCCTAGTCAATACAGGCTATCCCGAAGTACATCGAGGACGATAACCTTCACTATTCGAAAGACTGCTGCTCCTTTCATGGCTTCTCTATTGCCATACAGATTTCTTAACCTGTAACTATCCCTTTGTTGCCGGGCATCTTTATCTGTCAACTCTCAGCAAAGTCAAGCTGCCATGTTTTAACTAGGGATGACCTGAGTTGCGATATTTTATATTAATGATCTAATTTTACAACTCTAAATTTTTAATATAATATCCTAACATAAAATCGTGCGCTGTCCATGGGTTTAACTTGTTCACTACTCTTCATTTGTTTTGTTGCAGTTAGTGATGTTTTTTTCTGACCTAATCATACAGACTTTATGTAAGACATGATTTTTTTTAGCCATTTCTTTTAAAATAGCTTCATCTTACATACATGGATGTATGCATAATATATATGATATACGTGATGGGTGTGAGAGCTGTCATCATCATTCCCTACATGGTCCACATATCATCACTGGCCATTTTAATTTTGGTAGATGTGATGTGAACACCCTTATGGCACGTAACCATGTATTGGATACTGAATATTCAAATGATCTTTTGGATTCCATGAATTGGATTCATATCATCATCATTCATTTATTTAAAAAAAAAAATCTGTAGAAAAAAGAACTCACATATTCATTAATTTATAAACCAAACAATACACCGATGGTATCTTTGACGAGAATAAGTATTTGTGATCATTTAATTATAATTCTTTTTTATTTTAACAATCAATCTTTTAATTTTGTCAATTAGATTATTTAATTATTTGATCGTTGTCAATTAAATCACTTATAGTAACATTTAACAAGGAGGTGTCGCAACCGTATTTCGGTTGGGTCCCGGAATTGGGCTTCGACTTGAAAAATATAGATTGGAGTCGCCACCGATCATTTATTTAAAAATAAATGGGTTGATCGATACCCTATTTCTTACCTGATCTGCGTCTTACCAAATATGTCGGCTCGGGAGTCGGTTACGGTCAAGGAAGGATTAGCACCCTTGAACCGCCCTTTCGATACTACGTAATTTCCAGTTGTCTTAATTAAGAAAAATTGTAATTTAAATAAAAAGATAGAATTTGATTATAATACTACCTCTGATTAATGACGAAAATACCCTTAAAAGTCATAAGATCGTTAGAAGGAAAAAATGAATGAATGAAAAAAAATGAAGAATAAAAATAAGTAAAAAAATAAAAATAAAAGAAAAATAAAATAAATGAAATATATATATATATATATATATATATAGATATAAATGAGTAAAATAGAAAAATAATAATCATAACAATAATGATAGTAATATGAAAATATATAATATTAAATAAATAAAAAAAATTAAAAATAAAAAATAAATAAATATATAAATCAATAAAAGTATCGTATAATGATAATTGACTTATAAATAAACTATTAAACATAAATATTACGTATAATGATAAAGTAAAAAAAACTAAATAAAAATAATTATAATATATATATATAATAATACTTATAAATAAATATTTAAAAAGTATATATATATATATATATATATATAAATATAATATTAAAAATAACCAAATGAATATAAATAAAAATATATGCATATATATAATAAATATAGTGACAAAAATCAAGCAAAAAATCATTAAAAAACATACGTATAATATTTATATAATGACAATAATGTAAATATAAATAAATAAAATATTCATACAATAAATAAAAGGACTAATATGAAGAAAATAAAGATTGGGGCCAAATTTGAAAGACAATTAACGTTGATATTGCCATTAGGGGGAAAAAATAAACACGTCTCGGTAGATCTAGGTTCAAAACTTCGAAACCCCACCCATTTTGGTCATCGGCGCAACCCACGTTTGGGTTATTCGAACCAAAACTCAAGAAAAATAACGTGCACATGCGAGAAATGAACGAATAAAAAAAATATTACCTTTTATTTCCTTTTCGAATCGTTTACAATAGCTTTGCCTTTGAATTTTCCGTGTTTTCCTCTGTATTTTGTCTGTAAATCGTGTGTTACAATAATATATTGTAATTATCTTTATTTAGTTTTTTTACTTTATCATTATACGTATATATGTATGTTTTAATAGTTTATTTATAAGCCAATTATCATTATATGTATACTTTTATATTTGATTTATATATATATATATTTATTTTTTTGGTTTTTTTTATATTTGACGTATATATTTATTTATTTGATTTATAAGCCAATTATTTAGCTTTTCCCATTGTAACTCACTATTGTAACACACGATTTACAGACAAAATACAGAGGAAAACACGGAAAATACAAAGGCAAAGCTATTGTAAACGATTCGAAAAGGAAATAAACGGTAGCATTTTTTTGATTCATTCATTTCTCGCATGTGCACGTTATTTTTCTTGAGTTTTGGTTCGAATAACCCAAAACGTAGGTTGCGTCGATGACCAAAAATGGGTGGGGTTTCGAAGTTTCGAACCTAGATCTATCCCGAGGCGTGTTCATTTTTTATCCCCCTAATGCGCAATATCAACGTTAATTGTCTTTCAAATTTGACCACAATCTTTATTTTTCTTTATATTATTCATTTTATTTATTGTATGAATATTTTTATTTATTTATTATTTACATTATTGTCATTATATAAATATATATACGTATATTTTTTTAATGATTTTCAATTGATTTTTTACACTATATTATTATATATATACATATATTTTTATTATTTATATTCATTTAGTTATTTTTATTATTTATATATATATATATACTTTTTTTTAAATATTTTATTTATAAGCGTATTATTACTATATATATATATTGTAATTATCTTATTTAGTTTTTTACTTTATCATTATACGTATATATGTATGTTTTAATAGTTTATTTATAAGCCAATTATCATTATATGTATACTTTTATATTTGAATATATTTATTTGTTTTTTGTTTTTTTTTTTTTATTTGTTTTATATTATATTATATTTTCATACTATCATTATTGTTATGATTATTATTTTCTATTTTACTCATTTTATATATATATATATATATATATATTAATATTTCATTTATTTATTTATTTTCCTTTTATTTTTAATTTTTTTACTTATTTTTATTCTTCATTTTTTTTCATTTATTCATTTTTTCCCTCTAACACATCTTATGACTTTTTAAGGGTATTTTCGTCAATTAATCAGAGGTAAGTAATTAATGATCAAATTTTATCTTTTTATTTAAAATTACAATTTTCTTAATTAAGACAACTGGAAATTACGTAGTACCGAAATGGCGATTCAAGGGTGCTAATCATTCCTTGACCGTAACCGACTCCCGAGCCCAACATATTTCTGGTAAGACGCAGATCAGGTAAGAAATAGGGTATCCGATCAACCCATTTATTTTTAAATAAATGATCGGTGGCGACTCCAATCCATATTTTTCAAGTCGAAGCCCAATTCCGGGGCCCAACCGAAATACGGTTGCGACAGAAGGTGACGTGATTATTAATAAAATTATTATAACTATACATTTAGTCCTTATTATTTACATATTATATCAACTTAATCATAATTCTAAATTAATTCAATAAATTTAATCTTTAATTAGATCGGGACACACGTCATGTCACATGCCCTAATCATATGATGAAACATGTAACTAAATGTGTCATTAGTGGCATGACACATGTCATCACACGATTGAGTGATTAACTTTATTAAATTAATTTAAAATTATGATCAAATTGATATAATATATAAGTAATAGTGATTAAATATGTAATTATACCAATTTTGTTAGCAGTCGTGTCACCTCCTAGGTTTAAATGTTAATGACAGGTAGCTTGAATGACAACAATTAAATAATTAAGTGGTCTAAATGATAAAATTGAAAGATCGATAGTCAAAATGAAAAGAAATAATAATTAAGTGGTCATACATGTAGTTTATCCATAAATATTTTACTTGTTCAAACTGCAAATAACATCAATTCTAATACAGATTTTCTCGAGAAAATATAGAATTTGACAGTGATTTCTCTGATTAAATATTGCTCCTTCACTGTAAGCCTTCTATTTTAAGTTGTACTTTGTTTTATATCCAAAATTCAGCCTTTCACGTTAGAAGACAAGAGGATTTGATAAAAATCTGCAAGTGTCGAGTTTTCTTCAAAATTACATTAGTTCAAGTAGAAGGTCGAAACTGTTTGATGAAATATATACGTAAAAGCAGCAATCCTTCGGCACAATTTTGCAGAGAAACTGAGGCGCAATGGAGGGCAGAATTTCGAATGCGTGGCGGTTGACAGTGAACGATAAGAATTTCATCAAAACCGCTCTTCTTTCTGAAATTCGAATCGATGGCCGAAAGCCCTTCGAATAACGTAAGATTTCAATCAAGTTTGGCTGGTAAGTTGAAGCATCATTCTTCAGTGTATCTAACAAAGAACCAACTTTTATGAATTTGGATGTCTACAGTAACAAGTTCCCAGCGTTTCAGCTCATAATTACTCTGTTTCAGCCTATGTTTTAAAGTTGCTTATCTTGAAACTTGATGTTGTGTGAAGTTACAAGGATATATTTGTTATGTAGTATCTTTCATACAATCAACCTTTGAGAGTAGGTGGATATTACTCATTCTAATACAAGGCCACAACAAACTCTAAAATTAAATTACCATCGGATGTAACAGCTTAATACTTCTCTCATGTGTATGCTTAATACAGACACTGAATAAACCAGCCTAAATGTGGATAACACATGCAACGATCGTAAACAGGGTGACAAACAATTTATCTTCCTGTAAGAAATGCATGTTTATGAGAACCTTGGTTTGAGAAATGGTTTTCCATATTTTGGTAATAATTTCTTGTGTGATTTTTTTTTTCACAAATCACAATCAAAGAAACACACCTTGACTGATGCCATTCTTCTAGTTGAAGCGATTAGATGCATACATCTTTTTTCTTTCTGGAAGTATCAAATGATATCATTTACTGTATGAATAGCTTGTTTGGTGGATATTTGTTGGTAAAAGTCGGTGTTTAATTATTATGGTGACTTACAGAGGGGATGGATCATCAGAGGTGCAGCTAGGCCAGACTCTTGTTATGGGCATTGTTACTGCTCAATTGGTTCAGCCTTATAAAGATCGGCCTAAGGAAGGGATGCTTTCAATCATCACAGAATTTTCTCCAATGGCTGATCCTTCATTTGAGCCAGGTCGTCCTGGAGAATTGGCTGTGGAGTTGGGACGTATAATTGACCGTGGTCTAAGGTACTGTTAAATTTAAAAGATTTTATTGGAACTTACTTTTCCAGCTTTGTCTTGTCTTCATTTTTATTGAATGTATTTGGCTTCTTCAGCAATATTTTCTTGTTCTATAAAATGTTAGATCTCACCTAATGAGCATGCCCTTGCTTTTATGAATGTTGATTTCCTAATGATGCAAGTTTCTACTAAACTTTTCAGGGATGTGACGAGGGTCTGTCCTGACATTTTAAGGGCCCTAGACAAAATAAAAATAAGGCCCCTAAAAATTAACTTGGGGCCCTAGTGTATAGTAGAGCATGAGGCCTGGGTGCTTCGTCTGGTTCAGCTTCACTATCACCATCTTCCAGCATTTCACCCTCAGTTTCTTGTCAATGGATTTGCTTAAAAGCTGAAAATATTTTCAAAAATGGGCCCCTCCAAACCAGGGCCCTAGGCGGTCGCCCCCCTCGCTTACCCTCAGGGTCGGGGCTGGATGTGGTGGAACTTAGATTCTGGTTTTTGACTGTGTTGTTCTTATTCAAATAAAGGTAATTGAAGGTTTATAGTTGTCTTACAGGGAAAGCAGGGCTGTGGATACCGAATCATACTAAACTTTCCTAATATTGATGTGGTTAAGAAGAAAAAACAGCAGTAAACAGAACAATTAAGGCTGAACAATGAATATGAAAGATGGAGCTCTAGAGAACCCAGTGGTTTTCAAAGATAAATAATAATAAGAGAGCTGTAAATATATTACAGCTTATTTATAGTAGACTTTTTGTAAACAAGGTTGCTTTTCTCGCAAGTAATTTTTTTTCTTTAACCTTAACACACAAGCAAGCTAATACTCTAATTTGTCCGAAACGTCTAATACTTCACTAAAAAATGAAATAATAGAATATTTTAAAATTAAGCTAGAATTCTAACTTCTTTCTACTTGTTTTACAGCCCTAATTTTGTTGATTTACTGCTTTTGCACCCTTTACCATATCAGCCAACCTGATCATTTCCTTGATGCCAGTGGAATTTACACCATTTTCCTATTTAATTAGGAATCAGAATTTACCTGCAAGGGGACTGTTCCAATAAGTGCAATCCCGTGAATTCCTTCTATCCTCCTAGCACCTGCAAAAGGTTTACAAGTGAAAGCCAAAGGTTAGAGTTCAATGTTTTGGAGGGAAGAAGAATCCACTTCGCTAGCTAAATATTTGCTACCATTTCAATTTTTTAAGACCTGTGTAATGTCTCCTGCTGCAAACTGTCTGCTTTACTCAGTTTAAGGAATCAGAACACAGAACGCAGAACGCACATTCTATTAACAGGAAAAAGGCGAAGTGAATCAGGTCTGATTGAGAAACTATAATTGAAAATTCAAGCCAAAAAAAAAAAAGTAAAGTCAGTGGCACATGCAAGCTATGATCTCTGAGATTTTACTGATCCTGTCTGAATAAAGTAGAAACTGCAAATTAAGATTACCACAATACATTCAAGCGATCTGCGTAAGGAACTAATTCACAAAAAGAGCATTCAAAATAACAAAAAGGTCATAAGCATGGCAGAAGAGCTTCATTAAAGAATTATATCGAGATATACACACGAGACAAAAGTAAAATAAATGACATCTAAGACATGGATCAGGTATTGCAAGCAGGAAACTAATCTTTCTCTCATCTTTAAAGGAAAGTCAAGAGTTTACAGAACTAACCAATCAACTCAGAAGATCTAATTTCAAGAGTAAATAATTAAAATTACAAATATAGAACAGTCCCTCAAATTAGCAGGTGTTTTAGAATGATGTTAGTCTCTGATTCAAGCTCACTACTGTTTCTTCTCATTGGCTACACCGTTTTCCACTTGGTTATCAAACCCATGATAAGGAACTTCAACCATGGGTTTGGGAAGTGGACGTCCACCAAATTCCTCTGGGTAGCATTCAATGTCGGGGCCGAAGTTGAACTTCACCACACAGTTTGGTTGATTTGGAAGGGTGTACATTGAAGCAGCAGGATAGTAACGACCACCAAACAAATCCTTGAAAGCAACTCCTTGGCATACACCATTTTTGAAAAAAGAAATTTCACTTCCTGCAGGAAAGTCAACATTTATCAACATTAATGATGGAACATCAAGCATAGCACATGAAAAGCAGTATTTCCAGCTAATTGTAAATATTCTAAACAAAGTCCTCATCAAACACAGAACATATAGTCATTTCAATGGCCTGTATAAACAGCCAGGTTTGAACAAACAATCCATTTTTTATTAATGCTCTAAATATTACCACAACGGTTTAACAGCCAAAACATAGCACATCCAATCAGATAGATCCAGGTAGCTTCGGGTTAGACTTTATAATTAGTGTTCTAAGTTTACCCATTATGACATACCTTATTGTAGACAAGGGCCAAAAGGAGAATTAGCACCCCATGCAATGACCATAGAGAAGCCAGAATCAAAATATTTAACCAAAATCATGCAACAGAGTTGACGGTATTCTAATCAGTCACTTTTGTTCAAATATAACACATAATCTATTTTTGGGCTGGATACTGCAAAGCCATCTGAATCATAAAAATGCAAGCTGTAAAATTGCATTGTCCAAAGGTTCTATATGTCACTAGTCAGAAGCACACTAAAAGGACTCATATCTTGCTATATCTTTTTCATTTAGCAAGGGCCTAACTAACTGTCTAAATCTCAGGGTTCATTGTGTTCTAAAACGACAATTTTACACAAAATTTCCACAAGATTTATGCGATGGTGAGTACTGCAAAGTCCAACAGAATCATATAAATACAAGCCAATAATTTTGCACCGTAGAAAGCTTTAATATGTCACTTCTCAGGGTACTGCTTAAAGGACTCGTGGCTTGCAATATCTTTTCATAATAAGCAAAGGCCTACAGTTTGGTCACTGGAAGGCTGATGAATATCGGTTAATGAGAACATCATCAAAGCATATTGTAAACATCCTATTTTAAAACCATTAGAGTTACAGAGAGAACTAGTGAAACAATGAATGAGGGAAGGATAGCATAATTAGACGAATTTGAGCATGATGGGTAAGGTTTAATCTGAATTTTAACAATTCAAAGTAACTGCTTATAATCTAATCATCTATCTCCTCCTTGCACCCTTTGAGAAATCAACAGCACCATAACCAAGAACTGTCATGCAGAATAAAAGAAACTCTGGACAGTAAACCATTAATTTAACTACCATTACCAATAAAACCTTTAAAAGAAAGAACAGTCCTATGCCACAGACATGTAATGTTTTTTTACAGTCCTTGCACTAATTTATAAAATTGATTAAAAAATGTATATTAAATCTTTAGTATACACCAGTTGTCATTGATCAGATAACTACTCTCAAAACTATCCAATTTTAAGGCAACCAAAGAAAGAAACTGATTCAAAACCATGAAGAAAATCAGTGAAAAAGAACAAACAGTTGGATCAATAATTAAATTTAATGAATGCACAAAAGCATATTGTGGCTGGGAACAAGTTATTTTCTGAACTCTTTAAAACATCAATTTTGAAAGTACCATCCTAGAAGATGCAATGATGCAGTGTGTTCGATTTATTTTTATTAAGCGTCACCCACACAAGTACATGGTGCTTTCTCTTCTAAGATATTACCAAACTAGAGGATACATGGAAACAGTTTAAGACGTGGTTAACCAAAAACATAAAGAAATAAGCATAAAACCAGCATACATATCCAATTAAGTTCAATCAAATCCAATGCACAAAGAATAAGATCTAATCAGGATAGCAGTAGAAACTCACCAGGCACCACTTTAGGTGGCTCCTCTTTTGCACCTGGGGCACGCACATAACTCTGCCCTTTATACCAAACCAAATGAGGGGGCTTGGGAGCATAAGACCCACCTTCTGGTAAATTTATATAAAACCCTATAGCATCTCCTTCTTTATACCCTTCTTCTCCATACTTCTCTCGCAAAGCTTTGTGCACCTTACTTCCATCAATATCTCTATATCCAAAGCTATTGCCATCATACCCTACTGGCGCCTGCAAATCTCCTTTATCAGTAGACCACCCGAGACGCGTATGCCCGGTCTCCCCCAACTTCAACACCTTGATTTCAAAGTACCAAGCTCCATCAACCACACCTCTCGTGGCTCTAACCATTCTATACCCCTTCGTGCTACCTGCACTCATCCTATCCTCAGTCAACTCAACTTTTTCGGCTTTGTAAACCTTGGAAAGACATATTTTCATATCAGGCGTATCGTCCCCTTTATCAGGGAATCTCGGGAACAGGGGTGATCAAAACTGGCTCTTCCCCATTCCCAGCATTCTGATTATTCACTTTGCTCTTCTTTTTCCCTTTCCTCGACGTTTTAGTCACCCAAACATTATTGTTTTTCTTCTTAGACTTCTTCGTTGCCTTCGCTTTAGTATCAGGGGAAGGATTTGATGGGGCATTGACGTTGTTATTACTGTTTTCGACGAAAACATTGGTGCGGCTGTCATCGCTGATCCCGGGGACTGAATTTGAGTACTGAGGAGGAGTTGTTAAAGACGAGAGCTGCTTCTGCTTTTTGGGTCGGGGTTCTTCTTCGTCGTCCTTGAATTCCTCGTAGTTTCGGGGAACTTTAAGTGGATTTTGGGTTTCGTCGGAAGCAGTCGTTGTGGTGGTGGTAGGATCTTCTTCAGAGAGAGAATCCGACGAAGCCACCGCAAGCTGGGTGGTTTCGGGCTTGCTAGAGCTGATGCCGTTTGGCGTTTCGGTTTCCTTAATGGGCTCGGCGTTGGCTTGGAGAAGAGTCTCTTTTAGAGGTTCGCCGGTGACCGGCGGTGGCTGGGGGGCTTTTTCTTTGTTGTAATTGTCTTTATAAGTGGCTTGGAGGGAATCCATCGAGGGGGGAAAGTAGAGAGATTTCGTGGGGAAACTTTGGTTCCTGATTTGGATTATTCGGATTTCAAAGGAATAAACTTTAAAAAGGAATCGCTTTTGGGCTGAGACTGAGAGGGAATGAAATTGGGCTTTTGGCTTCGGCCTTTGGAAAAAATAAGCATTTTTTCTAATTAAAGTTTAAAAATAAGTGTAGAAGGGACTCCCATGGAATTTCAAGCTTGAGCATATTTCATATTTAAATATTTAATTTAACTAAAATTATTAATATTTATTACAAGTTATTATGATTATTTGTTTAATGACGATGTATCATGTTATTATTTAAAGATAGTATATGAGCTTCAATAGTAAGAATGATAAAATTTAAATTGTTTGATGAATTTTGAATCGATCAATCTTAATTATAATATATTATCTTTTGAAAAGCAGGTGCGGGTGAGAAAGTCTCATGTGCAACAGTCTTAATATACGGTTAAGGAAAGACGTTTTCGGTTTTGTTATTATTTTTTTTAACAAAACCGGTAAAAAATTACTGAAAACATTATTATTTCTACCGATTTTGTTATTATTGAGCGTTTTACTGGTTTTGTTAACATATCCTGTAAAGCGCTACCTAAAACATTATTTTTTCTACCGGTTTTGTTAATATTTGACACTTTACCAGAAATGATAAAAATATTAATG